TTGCTAATTACAGTTAAGCCCAAAGATGTAAGTTACACAACACTTTTACAGACTTTTTGTTCATGATTAAAATATGACCGATTCATACAACATAATGCATTTGTCTGCATTTACTGTTACCTGTAATCTGTTACCAGTAAGCAATTTGCAATCGTAAAACAAAATTATATATAAAATATATGATGATGGCCAATAAAATAACAAATGGCACAGAAAACGAGCTTGTGAGGAACAGATGTAACGTTAGGCCTACAGTGCGTCCAACTGAATGTAACGTTTAACATGTCGGTTGTTCGGCTGACAAAAACGTCTTTCTAAAAAAGTAACGTTAGTCACAAATGAACAAGGTTAACAATTGTTTGAATCGTGGTCTCTTAAATCATATTAAGAAGTTTCATATGTTCTTCTAGTTTGAATAGAAACTGACAAAACTGGTGACGTTTAACGTTAGTTCATGCGTCGTGTTCAACAGCTCGGGCGTCGTCTACCTCAAGTTAACTTATATTATCCTAGCTTGAACGGTTGATAAAAAAAAAAAATAAAAAAATAAAAACGCTTAACTTTACGAATAAGTTAACACCAACTCAAACGCACGAAGCCTGACTGACTGGGATACACTAACAGTGGGCGCGAAAATGCCGAGCCTGCTCAGCAAAGCCAACTGGTAACTTACCCACTTTAACGGTAAAATACACCTATAATCGCTCAAATTGCCCATCTTAACGATGTTTAACAGGTGGAGAAACAAATATGTGTCAAATCTCAAACGTTACATTACAATCTGCAGTGCTAATGCAGCACAGCACAGCACAGCGGCCACCGTATCAGAAACGCAAAGCTTGAAAGGCAAACACAGTTCGGAAAACAATGACAGAACATAACTAATTCTTCTCTTTTCTGCTAAAATTAACAATAATCTCCCAAAAACGATGTTACACAAGCATTCACTCGCCTCATCCACGTTGAATATGCTTTTTCGCGCGCAGCCCAACGGACAGCTTCCTCAAGTTCATGAGTTGTTCGTCTGAATTTCCTCCGCGGTTTAGTTAGTTCGCTGTATAGTCTGCCCGTGTCTCCTTGTTTGATGTTGCACTGCGATGTCTCATGTTTCAAACATGAGTCTAATGTCTAGATTTGCTGAATATTTTTTTTTTCTTGAAAGGACTCTGATATTAAATTCATGTACAAATTTGACTCCTGCGCATGAATCCATGTTCAGAGATTTGGCCGGTTAGTGCCAAAAAGCTACAACTTAAAATGTTAAGTTCACTGAACTAAATCGGGCTCTTTGAATTTCAGTAACATTAAACTGACTTTAAAAATCAAGTTGAATCTAGTATAAGTTATACAAAAAAGTTGAAATTGCTTAAATTATTTTTATGAGTTAAAGTAACTTAAAAACATAACAGCCCTCTACGAACACCTTGGCAATTGAATCGCCATTGGCTAGTAAATTTTTTTGTTTACTCGCCAGACTGATAAATATATACATACACGTATACATATACAGTGGGTACGGAAAGTATTCAGCCCCCCATAAATTTTTCACTGT